GGGGGGGCGTGGACGACGAGTGGGAGCGAGTGCGGGAAGAGCCCATCCACAGAGCCCCATGCATAACAGGGTCGTGACGTTCGCTGGGATTTGCCCGTATTCGAGTACTTGTATCGCCACTCGCGGATAATCGGGACCGACGAGGCGTAGGCATTGCAGGCGGAGTGAGCACGCGTTTTGTTCTCGTGTTAAGAGGACGAGCCGTTTACGCGACTGGAAGTGTGTCAGGGATTCAATAACACTGGATTGCAAAACACTTGGCGTTGCGGCGCGGGCAATTGGTGTTTAATGAGGGGAGTAAAATTATTATCTCTGCGTTTAAACATTCGTATATTTGCCGCAGTTTCTTATTGATTTAGGTTTCCAAGTAAATTTTACTCAGAGTTTGTTCTAAGAGAACGCGTTAACTAGAAGGTTTTCGAATTGAATTGCTGTGTCACCTGACTGATTTCGATGGTGATATTGACTCAACTTCCAATTTAATAATTTTGTAGTGGAGTTCATTTTACTGTAGATACACGAAAATATTAGAATTACATGAGCTTTTGAATTCTGATGAGGTAGAGTAATGAAAGAAAATGAATCCTGGAAAATATTTGATAACTTACAATAATGGAGAAAACATATGTACTACGTTAGACTAGCAGCGAGATCAGAAAAGAATATAAAGAATTATTGACACCACACATATCTACATCTGACCATAGAAAAAACCTTGAAACTCCATTCAAAAGAAAAAAGTAATGTATAGTTTTAATATCATATTCCATATCATCCTTGCCAAATGTGTGCGAAGATAAGTCTTTCGCCATTTGTTTTTATTTGAGACGAATATCTGAGTGCATGTCACCCCAATTTTGTATTTAAGATTTTCTGTTATCAAGATCTGATGCCAGCCTTTGTTGGTGTGTGCTCAGAAACTCTTATGATTGTTATGGAAGAGCATCGCGTGCCACCATGCCAAATGCTCGGACGCTGTTATTGTGCAAGAGGAGCTCTAGGAATGTGCCAGCTTGGGAGAAATGCGAAAGATATCCCTTGCCATCTTCGTTGCTTTCTCATCTAAAATTTGTTTTGTTATTGATAATTTGTTGCTGCGAAAGGAAATTGGCGGGAAGAGGCAGTGGCCTCCTGCCAGAAGTGCTTTCAAGCGGGGCAACTTTGAGGCCCGCGCAGCCTGAGAGTTCTGAGAGTCTTGTAGGATCCAGAGCATTTGCGGGGGTGGAGGCGCATAAACGCTAAGGCCGGGAAGACGGGAGAACGCCGCGCAGTGTTGACGTCGCAAAAACAAATGCCGGTCGAGACGAAAAACGCTACTTTGCAAAGCACGCCACTTCGGATATTACTGTAGTCGAATATGTAGCAGGATCTTTTTTTAATAAATACTATCGAACCCGTTGAGTAATTCGATTATTGTAACAGAGATATCATGAGGAAGAAAAAACTAAGAAATCGTAAATCCAGAGCTATAAATTTAGGGGGAGATGTGTACACGCAGTAAATTCAAGTTAGCGAGCATTCGGCCTTTTCTGTGTATATTGTGAAAGCATTGTTTACATACCATTATGTCGCTAAAATTTACGACCTTTTGCATCTTGTCTTAAAGTCTGCTGCCTAGGCCATATTCTTGTTACAAACTGGGAATGCGTATAGCCTTTAGGATGGCGTTTGGAATCGTTCTTATTAAAGGGGAAAGAATCGAAATTCTGTAATAAAGCTCAATTCAGCTTATAATATTTCACTTCTGAAATTGTTACACTTACTTTCAATATATGTGTTTGTTACCTCTAATTATTACAAATGTTTTTTCAAGTTAAAAACCTGAAATTTGTATCTGACTTTCGATCATTATATTTTAATCTACTAAAAAATATAAGCTTTTTATGAACACCAGATTGCATTCTTACTAGTTTTGCCGGGTAAATAATCACGTCTCATAACTCTTTATTTTGTGCGTGCCTAAAAGAACGCCTAAAAGAAAATAACTAAGCATATCACAAAAATGTTCTTTAATTGACCCTACAGTTTTACTGGATTGTATTTTTATTAAAGAAATTTTGTTGAAATGTATTTCACGTTACAGCACTCGAAAAAAAGTATCTCTTTCGGCATTGCATTTATAATGAGTTTTATTACAACTCCATATTCTATCATTATTAATATATTGTTTGAATGATTTCTTATTATTTTTGAGAGTACATTGTTATAGTAATTATTCTTCTGGCAATATAATACATAACGAGCGAACTAAGCACTGGAGAAGAGCACAAATATGTCCCAATACTTTCTGCTCATTTGCAGTTCTCAGTTGATCATTTAAAAGGAAACAGTTACACCGCGGAAGCACAAGCAGAAGATATCTTTCCTTTTTTATCCTCAAAAAGTGCTTGTGAGCTTCGAATTGCCCCTCAATTAGCCATAGTAATGCAAGAAGAACTGTTCGCGTACAAATTTAACTCTCGGCAAGACTTGACGTATCATTTTTTACATCCAAAAGACTCAGTCACTTAAAACACAACAGGCAGGTATGCGACGCGAGCTTCTTCTACCACTCGTAAAAGGCATTCAAACTGCGTACAATTACACTGTGCGCTTCAAATAACACGAAATCGTGCCAAAACCTACCGCAAAACTGCTGAAACTAAGTGTCGTCTTTCAGTCGAAAGTGCAGCTACTTGTTAAAAGCGGAAATAGAAAGCGGAGAGGCGCAATAGCTGTGGTTTCTGGATGTTCATAAATTCGAATTATTGTTGCATGCCAATAGGAAAAACAATAATGTTCACGTATTTTGAGATATTCATTGATAGAGATAACCTTTGAATTATTTTGTCATTACTAGTTGCAACATACTTGTAATATCAATACTATTAAGTAAACTGATTAAACCCTTTTATCTAATATAATATTTTCAACCATTGATTTATTTATTAATTGTACATATACTAAAATTATTACAAATTTTGCAATGTTTTGTATGTAGACTTATACAAAATATGAACGAATGAATGACTTAAGATTATGAATTTATTTATTTTTCTAATTTAATAAATTATATATTGCAATTTCGATTCTAATTAAGGAATACGTCAAAATTGATACAAAATAAAATAAATATTTTCCTGTGGGGTTTAAACGGAACTGATCTGTAATACAGTCAGTTATAAAGGCCGAGGATAATACTGTTAATAATAAAAACCAATGGAATTTAGTTTGTCCAGGATTTCGTTGTCATTTAAACCCAGAGATAGTAAATGTAGATATTCAATTTTTCTCTTTAGTTCAGTAACAATAAGCTATTGTTAGACTATTGCTTTGTCAAAACGAGGACCTCTATACGAATTTGATACACACATTTATTTAAGCGCAAAAACTCGCACTTATACATACAACTCACAAACGTTCGAACCTTTGTTTTGTACTATAATTTTTATTCTTGTATTGCAAAAACCATTCAGACGTGATGTTTCCATCAGTCAAACGTGGAATGAGGGTGTAGCGTCTGGTCGGGTTGCAATGCATCGAGTGATTTATAGCAATATAAATTGTGCCTATATTGATGAATGTTAAATATAATGAAAATACGGCGGAAGGATACTATGAAAGAATTTTTTTTCGTTTTTTCATGACAACTTGCCTCGATACTGCTTTGTACAAGCAAAAAATCCACTTTGTGTGATTCCAATTCGAATCGCAAGTGTATTGCGACCACTAGGCCGCGAATTGTCCCCAGCCCCAACTCACTATCTACAGTCGTTAATTACCGTTCCCTTCCTCCAACACAAAAAAGTAAACGAATAAAAGTGGCTCTTTGAACTTAACTTGTGTGCCCTCCTCAATTCGAAGTGAGTCGGTCCGTAATCTAAAATGCCTTTGCGCCTAGTGTTGTCTCGGGGCATGCGGTTGGTTGAAAATGAAGCGTGCGGTGCGGTGTGGCGGGGAGGGCAGCTGAGGGGAGCTGGGCGAGGCGTCGGCGCCGGCGCCGGCAGCCGCCCGTCTCCATTCGCCGACCGCCGCGCGGAGGGCAGCGCTCGGCTGAAGCGGGACGCGCAGAGCGAGGTAGGTCGTGACTGGCTAGGCGTGATCGACAAGACGTGGCGAAGGGAAAGCGTGGCGAAGGAAATAAATGTGGAGGAGGGAGACGTGAAGGAGGGACACGTGGAAGAGGAAGTCTCGGGGAGACGTGGGGGAACAGAGCAGAACAAGTGGGAGTAGCGGATGAATGAGAAAGCACATATTGGGATATTTTTAGATATTTTAAAACATTTGGACATCATTCATCATACCTAGGGTCCCGGTGTTTATGACATATCATATTTTTTTCTTTGAGTAATTTCCATGGAAAATGTAAATTATGTAACTTTTATGTGTCATGTAAAGTCATATTTTGGCTTTTAAACTCTTTATTGATTCTCCGTTAATATTTCATCTTATGGTCGTTATTTTCATGAATTTGCGTATTTATGTCATATTTTTATCTTTTTGATTCTAACTTTCGCATATTTCTCAAAGATCGTCTCAAACATATATTTTATGTCTTCTAATTGTTATCTAATTTCATACAATTTTTTAGATAATTCTCCGTCTTGCATATATATTTGAAATCTTTTCCTTACTTTAATTTTTATTTGTTAGGAGGGTTCATAACTGTGATCTGTTCTCAATCACCAGTAAAAAAATAATTTCGGAAAATATATTGTTCTTTAAGGGTCGTGGATCTTTCTTTGTCCTACTAGAAAGGGAAGTGATTGCACAGAAAATTTCCATTAAATATATTTATTGTAAAAAAAATTAAAAAATTCATTTCCAATTATACTATTTTTGTAACACATTGACCATGATGGAGTGTTAATCGAATACAGCTTACAAAGTTCTAATCAAGAACAGTTTGCAAAGTTCTTGCCAAGGTTACAAACATTAATTTGAATAACATCAACACAAGATGAAGGATTTACAATCTCACATATTTTAACATTAGTACTTCATGTAAAATTACCCAATACTTCCCTTCAAAATAATGAAATATAATACATAACAAAAAGCACATGTATATCAGTACAATCTCTCTCTTGAAAACAACGAGAAACGTTTACAGCACAAAGAAATCTCAAATTTGTGCTCTCTGGCATGTTTTTTTAATCCCTGAACTTAATTTTGTTTCACACTCAATTATAGTTTCATTCGTAAACCATTTCCATTAGAACAATGATTAAATTCTACTTCCTCCACCCACAAGCACTTAATGAAGGTCCATTCCCTCCAAATATCTATTCACACCCCGAATGTTCATAGAAACTTTTTAGATGTGCCGTATTTTCAGCATTCATTCAATCCTCTCGGGCAATGTTATTACTAAATAATCCTTCGAAAGAGTACTTGTCGTGATCTTGTGGATCGGAGTCGTCCTTCACCGTGATGTCGGGTCGAATCGTAGCCTCCCCAGGCCCACGTGTTGGCGGCTTCCAGTCCGGTGCGTCGCAAAAGTGGCCGTAAAAAGCCGGAGCTCTGACGCACTGCTTGTGGCTGCAGATCCTAGGTCGGAGGCGCAGTTAGCGGCCCAGACCGCCCGTGTTGCGTTGCTCGCAATC